GTGCCTTCCCCCCCCCCCCCCCCGTCTCTCTCCCCTCCCCACGCACGTGCCTTCCCGACTCGAAGCAGCGGCGGCGAAGGAGCGCGGGCAGCTCGCGGCCGTCGCCCTCAACATCGCCAAACCTTCTTCCGCCGGGAGCCGCTTCGCCAAGCCCAACAGGCAGAGCTCCGCCGAGGACGCGGCTAGCAGGGCGCGGAGGGACTCACGGCAGAAGCTGGCGGCGGAGCAGCGGGAGCTGGACTCGAAGCGGGCGCAAGATCGGGCGGAGGTGGCGCGTGCAGCTCTCGGTATCGGCGGGGGGAGGGGCCCCTCCCCTCCTCCCCACCGCCGCGGGTCCCCGTATGACGGCGACGCCAAGGCTCAGAGGCCCCGCCGGCCGTCTGCGAGAGCTGTGTCGCCCGCCGAAGAAGAGGGTCCGGACGTTCGCGACGCTTGCGGAGGTGTAGCCGGAGCCCGGGAAGAGCGGGTAATCCAACGCCTCCAGAACATGTGCGGAGGCGGCAGTGCTTCGCCGGCCGGGGGCGGCCTAGAGGGCCCCACGAAACCGAAGAGGCTGGACGGGGAAGCGCAAGCGAAGAGGAGGGGGGAGATGGGGGCAGGGTTGAGGTCAGAGGGGGTCTTGGGTGCCGCGAAGTACGGGGTCGAGGAGATGAGTGCGGCCTTGGAGTTGGTGCGGCGGCGGCGAGCGGCGAGGGCCGTCTTCGGAATCGGGAGCCCGGACAAAGACGCCGAGGAAGACGTGCAGAGCAACTTGGAGGTGAAGTCGAGCAGGAGCAGTCGCGATCGTTCTCGGCCAGGGAAGGAAGTCACCACGCCTTGCCGTGAGTCTGGCGAGAGGCCGGCGGTACCAAGAGAGCCCTCGGCCGAAACGGGAAATACGCCAACACCATCCTTGGAGTCGAAACAAGCAACCAACCGTCACCACGATCGCGATGGCAACCGCGGGACCGCTACCGCTCCTGCCGACGACAAGGGCGGCGCAGGCTGCGATGGGGAGATTAACCAAGCCGAGAACGCCGGAGATTATCGCCGTCGGCTGGGACAGGCCCAGCGGGAGACCGTTCCGGAGACCGTTGCGGAAATCGTCCCCCGTCAGACCGACCGGAAGGGGTCCAGCGATGCTGTTGGCGGCGATGCCGTCCCCGCCCCCGAGAACGAGCGGAAGGCCGGGGGCGTTTGTCGAGGCGAGGCAGCGTCGATGGACGGTAGGGGGCAGGAGGCAAAGAGCATCGTGCAAGGCCCCGGCAGCGACGTTCCGATGGAGTTTGTTGATGCGGAAGGCGGTTGCGGAGATGGCGGGGTCAGGAGTAAGGTTAACCTCGGGGTGGACGACGGGTGGTTCCAGACGTTCGAGGCCAAGATGGGCGCGATAAAGAAGCAGGTGTGGATGGATGTGTATGCCCTTGCCGTTCGGCTTTCGGTGGGTTGCGGCGGGAAAAGGGCTCGTCCGTTTCACCTGAAAGAGCGTGGCCGTTTTTGGAGAAGCACCTGCACAAGCAAAACACGCCGTCTTGAGGTGTTCGTTGAAGTTCTCATCGTTGGATGTCGGCATATTATGCTTTTCTGTTGAGCTTTCTCGCGAAACGGTTTGGCCCTGGATATCATCTTCCATCCTCCGGAAAATTCACTTGTTCCCGTTCCACTTGCGACCCTTCGAAAAAGGTGGAGCAGATCAAGTCTCCGCCGACGTCCACGCCGCGACGGAGAGACGGCGACCAGGCGGACTACGTCGGCAGTAGCAGGCCGGACCCGACCGCAGCAGCAAAATCCCATCGAGACTTCGAGACACCGCCGCCGCACCGCTACCCTATTAGGCAGCAGCGCGCGCCTCGCGGCATCCACAACGACGGACAAGGCGACCACGATGATGATGATAAAGCTTCTGTGGGCTCTGCGGGCGTGTTGCGACGATCTGACTCCTCCTTCTCGCAGCAGACGGCCAGACTTCATGCGGTGGCAGCTGCAGTGGAAGCGGCAGCGGAGGTGCTGGCTGCCATCCCGGCGGTAGGTGCTCCGCTTTGCAGCCAACACGGCGTGTTAAGTAAGCTGCGTGCATCCGAGTGTTGGTTCTTTTGATGCTGTATTGCTGGCTCGAACAACAGCAGTGGTCACATTCTATGAGCGGAGGATCGGCGATAGAGGTGTCAGTTTATCCGTAGCGTGGCACGCAAGCACAGCGTCAAGCAAATGGTCTTCTTTGGCGCAGCCATACCTGCAAAATGGGCGTGATGGCGAGTTTCATGGCTCTTGACTGCAAATATTTTGCTTTGTGTGATGTATTGTATCGTCACGTTCTCACCAGGTGGTGACCGTCTAACTCATGAGCGCTCGTGTTCAACCCGTGGTGAGAGCCGTTGTTTCTCCGCTCCTTTTTACCCCGCACCGGACCTGCGATTTACCACACTCCAAAAAGGGAACAACAATTCCGCACGTCTCTTCGTGTGTCCGTGCACGTACGTATGTATCAACAGACCGCAACTTCGGAGGATAACCAGACTCCCGAGGTGAGGCGCTGCCGCAGCGACGGCGACCTCCGCGTGGACCAAGGAGACCGCCTTTGTCCCCCTACGTCCGACGAGGCCGGCGACGAGGAGGCTGGCAAGCCTGTAGAGGGCGTCGGCGGCAGCGGCAGCGGGGCGGCGAGGCCTTCGAGGCTTGGGGGTCCCGGGGGCGTGAAGGTGGCCATGACGCCGGCTCAGCGAGGGAGCGGAGGGCGAGCGGCGCGGCAGCCTCCGGTCTCTAGCCGTAGCGAGAGAAAGCCTCCAAGGTACTCAATCTCTGCTGCGGAAAATACAGTTGGTTTTTCAAGCCGTGCTGTATCAAGAGGACGATCAAGTGAAGCAAACGGTGTTTGTTAGATCCTCCACCTCATGTCGAAGAGACTGCTTTTTGCGGGGTTTTCCCTCGGCCCGCAATCTGTTTTTGAAGGTCTTAGCGCTTGTGATTTTCTTGCGACATCTCACTTTGCTCTTTCCTCCTCCGCTTCAAACCTGCTGGATGTTTTTTTTTTCTTCAGTACTCGGGGCCCAAGACACGCTGCTGCGCTGGCGGCCGAGCTGGGACGGTACTCGGACAACCGGCCATGGGCAAAGGCTAGAAGCGGGGTAAGGGCACCCAGCGGTAATGACGACGACGAGGAAGGAGGAGGACACGAAGCTCACCCCCCCTCCGCGGAAGAGCGGGTGCAGGTGTGTCCGTCCCGTCAAGCCGATCTTATCGCGGTGGTGCAAGATTCCATGGCATCGTTGGAATGTATCATGACAGCGGCGGCGAACACTCGCTCTGTCGGAATGCCCCTCTCGAACTGCTGTTGTGTACCCCCACCACTTCACTGAGTTCTTGGTCGCCAAGTCCCAGGCACGGCATAGTGCACCAGCGCCTGGAATGTTCTCACGCGAGCGAGTTCCCTATTCGTCGCCGGGCACCACATGATGGTGCCGTCTCCCCACGGAGCGGTCGCAAGAATCTCGTACCACCCCATGTATTGGGTGCCGTTGTGTATGTAATCGCCGTTAGGTTTTCATTTAAGCACATTGGTTGCCCCCAACACGATTTTGTTTTCGTGTCGCGTAGGCTCTGCGCGCCACTCGCGACCGCGAGCGAGGCAAGCTGCGGGCTTTGATCGCGGAAAAGAGACGGAGGTCAAGCATCGAGAAGGCCAAGGCCGCGGCGGGCGGGGAAGCGTCGCCGCAGGGCGCAGCACCGCGCGGCGACGAACCGGAACCGGACGAGCCGCTCCTGCCACGACAAGAGTGGAGCTCTCCCAGAGACATGGCGGCGGCTGGGGTCGGGGGGCGGCGGCCCGCTGACCGCGCCACGGGACCCCCGGCGTCCGAGCCACGAGGAGGGCGGTGTCGAGGCACACCCCTACATAGAGTCGCTTGCCCGAAGGGAGGAGCGCGTTCGGGGTCCGTGAACGCTTCGACTCGCCGCCGGAGAAGACCGGGGAGCGACTACAACGATGACAGCAGTAACCAGGAGGGTGAACTCAGGGCAGGGGCGAGGAGGTGAGGGACATCGGGGGTGGAAAATGGGTATATATATTTGTTTATTTTTTTGGTGTCTCGCCCAGTTCTGCCCTCCGTTTTGTTGGGGTGCTGGCGTTGTGTCGATTTCCTCTCCGGTGGTGTTGGCTGGATGGCTGGATGGGGAGGTGGGGAGAGATTTTTGCTCGTTGTGATGTCGGAGGAGTTGACCTAATAGTACTTGGTCGTGAGGGCGTCGAAAGGCGTGGATTTTCGCTCGGAAATGCCGTGTGGCGCTGGGCATGCTGCGGTTCTCCTGATAGATGCTTTTTGCTTTTTTATTTGCCCGGCCCGCTCGGTCAACCCGCCGGCCATCCCGCAATTCGTTTTTAGTTCTTGCCATCCTCATCCACCCTCGCTCTAGGAAGGATCTCGCTTGCTTGGCTTGTTTGTTCAACGCTCTCTACTCGTTCGACCTACAAGGTACAGCAGTGTAGCCCTGTGTCCCCTTCGCCCTTTGCTTCAACGATGCGCTGGCTGGCTACACTGTGGGATCGTCTCCACGCAGGGAACCCGCGAAGCGGCAACAGAGCCTTCGTGACTTCATCGCGGAGAGTAGGCGGAACCAACGGGTGAGGCGGTCTGTCGGTCGTGACGACGAGGACGAGGACGAGGACGACGACGGCGACGGTTTTTCTGTCTTGGTGCCCTCGGGACCAGGCCGCAGGCGCGGGGAGGGGCGGCCGACGGACCACGATGCGCTGGCAACGGGAGGAGAGGAGAAGGGGACAGGAGAGGTGGTCGGGTTTGACGACGCGGTCGTTGCCGTAGTCCCAGCCCGTAGAAATATTGGCCTAGACTTTGAGGAGGAGGGCAGGGTGTGGGAGGCGGAAGAAGGAGGAAGAGGAGCAGGAGCAGAGGCAGCAGGCGGGGCAGGAGTATTCTCCGGGGGTGGGGGGTCCGCCGCTGAGGTTGGCCGGGGGGGGGCGGAAGAACAGACGAGGGGCGAAGAAGAGAGCGTTGCCAGCAGAGGGTCATCGAAGTCGTCGTCATCGTCCACGTTGTGGAATTGGGAGCACTCGCCGGTTGGCGAGGCTGTGGGTTCCATGGAAGGGGTGCACCCGGGCCTTGCGACGTACAACTCTCAGCGAACAGCGGCGGCGGTGGTGGGGGGCGGGGACGGTGGGGGGCGCGCGGGACAGGAGGAGTATGCGCGAATGTTAGAGCTGATGCAGCAGGTTTGTGGTTGGGTTTCGGGTTCGGTTGTCGTGACAATGTTTACGGAGATAGATGCCCTCAAGTGGTTGTCCTCAGGAGGTGGACGTGTACACGAAAGAAGCGTTGCGTTGCTCAGCAAGCTTCATAAATTGCGTTCCTGCTTGATTGCTCTACAGCAGTACCCGACATGCTCCTCCTGCACGCAAATGTTTTACACTCGCGCTCCTTCTTGCCCTCCCCCCCCAAAACCCTCCAGGAGGTTCTCGAGCTAGGAGATGGCGCCAGCACGGACTCCGGGTGGGGCGAGAGCAGCTCCAACTCCGGCGAGGAGAAAAGCTCCGGGTCAGAGTCGAAGCAGCGACCGAGCGGAGGCGACGACGAGGAGCAGCGGACTGGCGGCGGCTGCGGCGGCGGCGGCGGCGAAAAAAGAAGTCACAACGAAGACGGTGTTAGTAGCAACAACCCTTCTCGGGTCGTTTCAGGACCCGAGCTGGCCGTGTTCTTGTTTCAGGGTGGGGTGAAGGGCGGCAATCCCAACGGCAGCGGTCTTGAGGCGAAGGACGATCATGGGTCGTCGGGAGCGGCAAATTTTCTGTCGCCTGGTGCCCCCTCTTGTGGCAGCCGAGACTCCTCGGTCCTCGCGTACTCTGGGTCTGGGCTCCAGGGTTTAGCCGTGGGCGGAGGCGTTTCGACAGTGGAAGGGCTCAGGAGTGCTGCATGTCGTCGCGGAGAAGTCCCATTGGAAGCGGATGAGGTACTATCTCGTGAAGAGGCGTGCTGTGGGGATAGTATTGGAAAGGTTCCGGTGGCAACAGATGTGACGCCGCTCAGAGATACCCGTGAGGATCTCGGGACGAAGTCGTCATCCCTTAGCGGCGAATTGCGAGGTGTAGATTTCATCCTCGGCAAGTCGACGACCAGAGGTGCGCCCCCTTGAAAGGATGGGTCTAGGAGGCGGACGCGGGAACGTATATTGAACCATCACCACCGCAGCTCTGCTGTAGCCTGTAGCGGGAGGACAACTGTTCGGCTTCCAATACCACGATAAATGTAGCGTCGTCTGTACAGGAATGTAGTGCCTGCTTTGACGCTCTACTGGGTGTCTTGTACTACGCGTTTGAATTGGATGTTATGTTCCGCAAGCCACATGAGCATTCCTTGCCATGCGCCCTTAGGGGTTGCACTCTGGTGCCTTCCCCGCCTCCGGAATTCTTGGTATAAAATACTAAGGGTTTGGAATTTAGAATGTAGCTGTCAAAATCCTTCGGAGGTCTTGTCGCACGCATAAGCGCGCGCGTTGCTATCCAAATCACCTGGTTTACGGGACACCCCAAACACCAGACCTTACAAAGCCTATCCATCACCCCGCGTTGCCTCACCCTACGCTGAACGCTGAACTTTCCATACTATTCGTGCCCGCTTTCAATCTACTACCTGAACTCAATCCGTCCGTCGATTTCCCTGCATATGGTGCATACTTGTGCGAGACACACCGAACACAACCCGCCGTAAACATCGGAGGTTCGTTGCTACCTGAAACATTTTTTGAAGAGTCGAATGCTACATCTCTCTTTCTTACGTCGTCTCAGGTGTCAGGGTTTGATCCAACTCGGTGGGGGCCGCTGCTGTTGTTGATAACGTGCATCGACGAATCGCCGCGGAAGCCCTCTTGTTGCTTCCGTACTCATCGGATGGAGTACAGTACAGTAATACCTCTCTGCACCCCACCGCTGTACACCCTTTCAAGCACCACCCTCCCGGTGGGTGTTTGTGTCCTTCACACCGCCGCTCCCTCGAGCATGGCGGTTGGTCGCTACCGGACGACCCCGCCTTCGCTCTTCGCCGGTGGGCAATCCGCACTGTCCGCGCCAGCAAACCCGGGTTCTTCCTTCTCCAACAACCTGTCCACATATTCCCACTGGAAGCGGAAGCAGAAGAGTGAAGTTGAAAACAGGGCAGCACGAATGAGAATCAAGCAGAGAAGAGAGCATCATTCCCGCCGTAATATTGGACAGGTGCCAGGACGCGCGTCCACTACTCCCGCTCTTGATCCTGCCTTCCAACACCATATCCATGGTGTGCGTATTCCCTTGTGCGGAAAACTGCGGGATGATCCATTGAGGAAGCCGGGCGCTGCAGTTGAGGGGAACATCACTTGTTCGACTACAGAGAACAAACGGGCTGGCTCTTCCTACCGTCGCTACTACAGCAGTACCCAGGTGATAGGTGGATTGCATGCACCCGGGGCCGAGGTGTACATCAACAGCGACGGTAGCGACCTTAACTCGAAACGACGCAGATCTCCCATCCCCTGCAGAGAAATTGTGCACGTATATAGGTTCGTTGCCTGCATGAAATACACTGACAGGTCACGCCACGTGCCAGCAGAACACGCGTAGGTTGGGTATGGAACTACGCAGTAAACAGGAAAAGTTACACTTGTCCGAGTTCCAGAGGATATCAAAAGGCGACCTCAAAGCGCAGACGCCACAGCAGCACCCCCGCTCACTTCCTCGTCGTACGTCATGCCCCGCATGGCCTCGCGATCTCTGATGTATTCTGGACGATGTCGAAACCCCAGGCGGTGCATCTGCTCCGGCGCCCAGACTTTCATCTTGTCGTTGAACTCTCTCAGCTGCGAGTCGGGGTGCCGATGTAAGGTGCCGCCAGGCCAAAAACACGGCGGCGAGAGAGGGGGGGGAGGAGGAACATGCGGTGTGACACCTTTTCTCTGAGGAGACGGATGGAGCAAGGTTCCAACAACACCGAAGAGGGAGTGTACCTCGAACGAAGACTTCTTGCTACGTCTGACGCTTCACAAAGAAAGAAGCACTCACGTTTGTAACCCCCATTGAGTAACCCACGACCAACACGCCCGCCGAGAAACAGCCCACGGAGAGCGCCGTCCCGTACATGAGCGCCCGCGTGGCTAGCCGGTGCGGGCTGAAAGGCAGCGGCTCAAGCCCTTGCTTAGCCAGAGCTTCAGCCCCTACAGCATCGGCCTTAATCTAGTATAGCTCCGTCCGCGTTGTGAGACAGGGGGTTGGGCGGGACGGGGGGGGGTGAAGGAGTGTGCATGGGCGTGTGTGGTGGCCAAAGTCCGCGTAAGAAGGTGCGCACCTACTTGCTGTAATGGCACATAGGTCAACCGCAGATACAATGTGAACGTGGCACCTGTGATACAACCACGCCCGAACGACAAACGCAAACATCAGTTGGTAACTGCTCGTGCAAACCGGGCCGTTCAGACACTGCCGTGCACTTGGCATGCGGGATGTACTGTAGACTGCTGTGGTACGTGTCGTGGGTACGGGTCAGAACTTGCGGTAGGCAGTTCAGTTGCAATCTTGGGCATATTGTGGTGGACTATATATCCCAGCACGTTGTAATAGAGGCTGATGTACACAGAAGCTGTTGCCAGAGAGCTTGTTCCCGCAGATAGTGCAGTAGATGCTAATGGTACCTTCCTGGGCTAGCTCTCGAAAGTGCAAGTGCTACACTGCTGTACATCAAGGATTGGCGATTCCATGAAGGCATCAACATGTTTTGATCCACACGCTGTTGAGCCTGAGAACGAACAAGCTGCATGGCTGACGTCTTGTTGGCTTTAGGGGTTTCAGATGACGGTGCTGCCTCCGTCGCGCTTGTTGAGGATCCTTCAGCTGAGAGAGTCCAAACCGTGGGTTGCCTTGGTCAGTCGTGACATGGGCACTCCCTGTGCGAAGTTTGTCTGTGCTGTCGGCTTCGTCTCCGACTGTTCATGGAGACATTCAGCGTCCGCGTGGGTCCGCGGGTTGTGGTACGAGCGCCACTTGTTGCCGCCGCCACCGCCGCCGTTCTTTCAGTAGACTTGGGTGTTTCTTCTTACCCCGAGTCGATTGTTTTGCGCTACAGTCGTTTCGGGTAGTCGCGCTTTAGAGCCCAAGCGCCTTGCAATGATGGCATTGGTCGGTGCTCGGTGCTGCGGCTACCGCTACTCTTACGTCCCGCCATATATGAGAGTGATTTTATTGAAACCTCATCGATGTCACAAACCTCATCGATGTGTATCGATGTCACATGGATGACGTTGAAGAAAATCAAGCCTGTCCATCGCAGGACGTGGGGTAGCGATGACCGCAGCATCGAGCACCGACCTTGTCGTCATATTGCAAGGCACTAGGACACCACAAGCGCGTCTGCCCGGAACTAGCGCAAAATATAAGGCCCAAAGAAATTGACGCTGGAAGAACGACGGCGGCGGTGGCAACAAGTGCTGCTCGTACCACCCGTTGAGCCACTCGAGTCGGAGTCGAACAAGAAGCCGACAGCACAAGCAAACTTCGCGCACACAAGGAGTGCCCATATCACGACTGACCGATGCATACGTCTAAGAGGGCAACCGAAGGTTTGGATGCTCTTCCTCGGCTGTTGGATCCTCAACACTGACAATTTCGATAACATGCGATGCTTGGCCCTTCGGACTGCACAAAGGCCAAGACTGACCCGCCTGGCGAACTTCGCCCGGTTTGGTGCCAAAAACCTATCCCGGTGTCCCCACCTGCTGTATTGCTTAACTCCGACGTACAACTCGTTGTCTGCTGTTGCGCAACCCATGGAGTGTTCAATCAGGAGCTCTGAGGTCTACCCAGTATCCAGTAATAGGTTGTGTTCCTGTCGAGAAACGTGCCGTAACATCCTTTTAATTTAACCCCAGAAAACGACCTTGGGCAATACTACCTCTGCTGCTCCCTCACCTGCTTACGAAAGCCAGCGTACACCCCCAGGCCCAGGAGACCAAGCCCTGCTGGAGCAAGTTTCCAGTACCCGAAGTCCACCGGAATCAGCGGCGGGGGTAACCTGGAGTCCGCTATCCGGCCACCGCCCCCCGAGAAGCGGCGATGCAACTCTTCTGGCCTCTTCGCTTCGGCCATCGCGTGTGTGTGTGTGCTGTCGTGTGCTATGGTGCCCTGTCGCGGACCATGGGAACGGTCGGTCGTTCAACCCCGAAATGTGATTGCGCAAAAAAAACGGAGGGACGACAGTCCCGTGAAATCTCCGCGTTGGAAATCGGAAACTCGTTCGGTCCCCTGCCTCGTATCCCCGTCCATGGCTGCTGGCTCGTTTACGGTTTAACTGCTGGCTCCCCATCAGCTGAGATGCGCATGAATATCGTATTCGTATGCACGAGGTAAGCTACTGCATGGAACCCGCACGATAGCTGCAGTAATAGCATATGTGGACTAGTTGAAGTGTGTCTGAAGTTCCGTCCCACTGCATTCTTGCGTTGGCGCACCGATTCTCTGGCGTGTGGCGTGTGACGAAGAAACGTAGCCCAAACGTAGATAACACAGAGAGAGAGTGGTCACCGCTGCCGTGTCGATGAGACAACATGTGCACTCTCCCTGTGCCTCGCTCCATTGTGCATGCCGCAAAGAGGAGTGCTGCGGCTGCGAGAGTCTCCCGCGTGCCGCGCTCTTCTGGAATATCCGCGACCCTTCGGTAGAAAACCTTCCTCGTGACCCACACTGCTAGGGAGTATATGTTGGTCTTCTCTCGTGCCGTTGTTAATGTGTCACATCTGGGCGAATGAAGATAAGGGCTTGAAGATGTCAGTCTTCGTTTGTCATTTAACTCTTGCTCACGCGCCGGCACCCGTCCCATACAGCAATGTTTGCCGGTCTCCGATCGCGGAAGGGCTTGCGAAGAAATGGCTATCCGAAAGATACGGTGTTGGCGTTCAAGATCTCGAGCAAGCCGGTTACAAAGTGAAATCAAGAGGTGAGAGCACCCCGCCTGTTTTAACTACTACCGATAATCTGTGATACAAGCCTCAGACACCCTTCGCAGTTTTTATCACCCGTACTGTAGTCCGGATATCGCCATATGTATGGGCAAATCTCAGCTTGTTACTGTCGTTTCTGTCTCACTGCACGCAAGCAAGAGGACGTCACATGCACCATCATCCGAATGAAAAGCGAGACACACCGCTCCGCAAAATCACAGGATGCTCGACTGACTTCGAACCTGTAGGTTCCCCGGCAAGCCCCCATGGCGTCACGATCATGCGAGAGCAATATGGCGTCGACATTTCCGCGCACCGCTCGGCCATGCTGTCCGAGGCCGACGTGCTGGAAGCGACCCACATCTACTGCATGTCTCGGTGCCACCACGATTCCGTGCTCAGCCTGCTGCGGCGGGATCCTTCTAAAGATCACGACCTCCACAGCTCTCCACCGTTGGATCGTCCACCATCATCCCGAGCATCGCCGGGACCACCTTCTTACTCGGCTCCGGATGCGGGCACCACCGGGGAGAGGCGCGAAATGCCGTTTTCGGTTGTGGTATCTGTGTTTGAGCCGGAAGTCCCTGATCCTTGGCACGGAACGATGGAATACTACCGCGAGTGCACCGGGATCATCACCGAGGCCGTGACAAGGGCGCTGGAACGAGAAGCGCCGGGGGGTTCTGATGGACAGCAGCAGCGCGAAAGTTCATCAACAAGCCCACGGCCAGATGAGGACAGGGGGAAACCACAATCTTGAGGAGGCGAATATTGTTCGATGTTCACATCGGAGTTATGAGTCGATGCGCCTGTCCATCATTCGTGAAACATGTTTGTACGTGGAAGCGTCGTTTATCCAGTCTGTGTAGTTCTTGTGATAGAGGCAGATGACGTGTGGGTTGTTTAGAGTTCTTTTTTTGTTTGTTTTTCTCCCATCATTGGACTCTGTCGTCTGCCCCTCTGGCCCCTATCCTCCACTTCTACTAGCTAGCCGACCCAATCGGGGTCACATAGGAGGGGGGGGTTGGACCCTCTCCTGCGGTTCATGCCTGAGGTATTTTTATCGCGAGAAGGGTACAGCAATCCCTTCCCTCGCGACTTACGAAGTCGATTATGGTTTACTAACAAACGAGCTTTGTAGCGCGTCGCTTTCATCCTAGAGAGTGTGCTCGTCCCGATTCCACTTCTCCACTTTCGGTACATACAGTAGAGAGGGGCACTTTTGCACAAGTTCAGCTCTGTGAGGGGGTGATGCAACGGTACTCTAGCGCGTGATCGCCAGACAGCAGTTGTCCTTTTTTCGGTCAGTATTCGTCGATTCTAATGCGAGATACATACCGTCGAAAACACACAAATACGATCGGAGGCATCAACATCCTGCTGTGTTTTCGCCACAATTGTGTGGCCACAAGCACGACATTTGGTGTTCGTTATCATCCAGCGTGACGAAAACTTTGCACTGAATGCTGTCCTTTCGTTCGTGGTAGTAGGACCAAAGATGTGGTGGTAATTCATAGCGTTGGTTTGTGCTTCAACAAGCTTTTGTGTGGCTTTCCTACTGCCCGCTCTGTGCAACCGTACCATACACAAGCACACTCACCGGCAGCCCCCAACACTAGAATACACGCAAACTTGGTGTTGCTGGTCTTATCTTATCATTGTGACATTCACAAGAACCACCAACAAAAACAAAAAGCAAATCTACAGCAAATGCCAGAAAGGGCAACCCAAAAAATTATTCCGCGCGAAACATCACAAAGCAAACAGCGGCATTGTCCACGTCGGCGTTACGTTTTCCCGTGAGAAAGCCCTCTCGAGCGCGGCCGGGGAGAGGTTAAACGTCGACTTGTCGGCCTTAGCGTCGATACCCAGCTCCTCCCCGCAGATGCCGCCCGCGATGAAGACGCTATCCAACCCGGCGGACGAAGCTCCGACAATATCATGAGCAAGGCTGTCACCCACCTGTTTTTCGTGTCAGAGAACATACCGGAATAGCAGTGTGGACATTGCAGCCGCACATGGTCGGTAGTTGTGCGCTTATACTTGCACCAGGGTCAACCTGTTGACAGTCACGCCGAGAGGGCACCCTCCCACAAGGTAGAGGTAAATCATGCGCGACGGAAGGTAAAGTATACGGCAAGGTGACAAACCCCAGCATATTATTATTTTGCCTCAAGGACCACACCTTCGAAACGACAAGAGTACGTGCTAAACGGCCTACGGTGGATGCACCAAACCTCTCGAATTGAACGCTATTCTGAATGTGTCGCTCGCGTACAAACCTCGGTTAAAATTACAAAAAAAAAGTTTGGGAAACCTTCGAGCTTACACGCAAAGAAACGTGTTCTGAGACAACAAATCAGCAGCCGTTGGGACGTACATGAACCACCCTGTCCTTTCCCAGACCCATCTTCTCCACCGCAGTCTCGTAGTGCTCCTGTTAACCAACGCCCCGATCGGAGTCGCGCCACCACCGGCAGCAGACGGGCACGGAAGGCAACAGGCGGTGAGCGCAGAGAGACGTGAGGAATCGTGGGGATGGGCGGGGGAGTACGGTCCTAAAGTCAGCGGGATTATTACCGCAAACGCAAGAGGGAAAGCAGATGTGACGCTTACCTTGTGCGGCTTGCCGAAGTAGGTAACTCTCCCTCCCATCGCCTCGTACCTCTTGGCGAGCAGCCCAGGCATGTGCCACAACCCTCCTTGCGGATTGTTGACCGTGATGTCGGGGTTAACGTTGTACATGGGCAAGTCTCGCTCGACCGCCGCCTAGAAGAATAGCAGGCATGGCACACCACAACAGGAACCAAAGCGAGGACCACGCCGGCCGGCTGTCAAGAGTGATGTACGGGTCCTAAGCACAGTCGAAAAGCGATAATTCAGGGTCCTCCATGATCTGCTGCAAAGAGTTAGAAAACTATTTCTTTCTATATACGGAAGACGAAACCTTGCAAAGCGTTTGGGACCTTCCTCTCCTCTTTTCAATGCCAGCCGTATGCATCATAGGGTATTGTCCAGCTCCCCTCCCCCGAGAACACAAAACGACTTCAGACGAACAACCATTTATCAAAATCTTAAAAGGCGAAGCCAGCCAGTCGACCCTTGTTGAAAATATACCAGACGACACGAACCCCGTCTGCCCTGCTGCCCACCTGAAAGACGGCTTCGTAAGGCTCGACCTTGCCCGTGTTGCGCGTGTCGGTGCGCGTTGCGCCCGTGTCGTCCACGATGTTGTCCGGCCCGTGGCAGAGCAGGAACGTCGCTTCTTTCGGTGACGAGTAGTCCAGGGACAGCGCCTGGTCACGCGGTATGACGACAAAGGGAAAAGGAAGACGGACGAAACGCGAAAATACAGTGGCACGGGAAGGAAAGATCAAAGGAGAGGCGGCAGACAGATATCGTTGTAGCTCTTCTTCTTCTTCTCGTCACAAAAAAAATATTCCGATCTCGCTATCGTGCCCCGTAATATCCGTACTGGTCCAACTGGTACGGACTTCTACACAGGCCAGGGTGTATTTACCGCCGGGTGTCTCCCGGCCAGCCATTCCCCCTCCCCACATACCTACAAATGTGTGGCGGGCTAAGCAAACAACCAAACAGGACAACTCATGTTGCAGGGGACTATGCACGGGGCAACTAACGTACGGTACCGGGGTCGATGTGGGGAAGGGTAGTGGGGACAAGGAACAACAGCGTAAGCATACGAGCTTGGAGAAAGGGGGTGGTTCGAGAGTGACGCACACCAAGGGATCGAGCGTTAAAAAAGGGCTACAAAAAGACGAAGAGTGCGGCGGCGGCCTGTGGATACTGTAACAACGACGCAAAAAAAAAAAGAGGGTTGGCCGCATGATATAGTCCGGCTGAAACCCATGCTGTTGGCATGTGGGATCGCGTCAACACGTCAGTATTACAATATGAACAGTTCTCACCTCCAACAAGCCGTCCGAATCTTCGCCGTTCCATCCCAGCAGCACAGCCTTTCCCCCGACGAGCCCGTTCTGCACCAGATGCTGGTAGCCCTCCTGAAAACGGTCGTGAGTAGTGCGTATGCATACAGCACCAAGCAGGGGAACATGCCTCACAAGATCGCCCCACGCTCCAGACCACGTACGACTGCCAGTCGGTGCGTGCATCGCCCCCCAGAAGAGCGAGGGCCAACCCCCGACATACCAAAATATGAAAATACCAAAAACGGTTCCGCACAGCAGTGACTGCTACACGTTCAACAGGTCGCAGCCCAGACGGGACCGCCTTCGCGAGAGCTCAATTTAACAAGAATGACGCAATAGAGCTTAGAGCGGGTACGAAGACACTATCCCTAACCTACCTGCCCAGACGTACGCTAATGCATAGTGAGGTGTCCCACCTCCCCTGACGTCACTCCTCCATCGAACAACTCTCGCCGGAACCCGAACTTGGGCAGCCTCGCCATCGTGAAGTCCTCCCTCTTCGAGGTGTTGCTGAGGATCACCAACCGCTTGCCCTGGCTCCGCAGCTCTTCCAAGCACTCCACTGCGCCGGGCAAGGCATCTCTGCCATCTTCAGGGCAGGTTGCGGCAGAGGAGGAAAGCAAGCAAACCATCGCAGGAAAGCGCCAGCAGATAGACAGAGCGCATTTAGATGGTTCGAAGTGACGCCGCCATCGGGTCAGGGCTACCGAGTTGAAGCACGCCTCGTTTGGGTGTGCGGTAAGGACGTAAACACCGATACCCCTTAAGATCAGCTTCTTGTCGGGGAGAAAGAGCTGGCGAACATTTTTCAAGTCAAAGGTTGCATGCGCACGAGTCGATTCAGATGCTAACGGTAAAAACTGCAGTCCGACACCCCCTGGACCAGTTTTCAACGCTTGATTACTCCACGACGAAGAGGACTGCCAAAATCAAATGATACGTGGTAGGAAAATTCTCAACACCACGGTCCCAGCGACGCCATTTTCGGCACCGTCACTGTCGTTTGTGCTGCAGAGTGCTCGGCGCCCGATTATTCTCCAGAACAAAAGACACGGACCACACCGAAATAGAGGGCGCTGGAATCGGGCGTCGAAAATCGGTATCCCGGAATGACACAATATCCTCCCGGAAGCGAGGTCTTCTTGCCCCACGGCTTCAACTGCAACATTTTACGACTTCAACACGCCAACATGATACCAATTCTCGAAAACCAGAACACTTTCATTCGCCATTGGTGTGAATCAACGTATCAGCCTAGCATAGATGTGGTAAGAAAATCAGCAGAAAGTCTGCGTCGGGAACCCCGGTGGCTGCAGATGACAACATGTCCATAATTTTTTTTTTCTTAATAACACACAACAAATCCATCTCTACATCTATAAGAAATAAGTCTAAGATAGATCAGCAATAAATCCATAGCGTGGACGATTTTCGAAATGTTCGACGGTATGTAGCACCAAACCCTTTCTTGACAGATCCGATCCAACCTCACCGTGGAGAACGCCGAACTGGTCAAGGATGAACCCATCGTACGAATCACACAGCTCCTTGATTCCTCCAACAACCTTGGTTGTTTGTTGTTGGACACCCGAAGTGCTTGACATCGCTAGTTGGTGGGAGAAAGTGCGGCGCAATAAGGACCCCGCTGGAGATCGAAGATGGAAAGCACCACCACTGCTGCCGCAGCTCGAAAGTCCTGCACAAGCCCGTTTCGCTGCTCCGCCTTGGAGTACAAAGCTTCCGAACAGGCCAATCTGCCGCAGGAGCATCCGAGATAGTCTTCACGTGGTGTGTGTGTATCGCTGTCTATGTTTGTAGTTGTAGCAACGGACGGAATGTTGGCTCCGATTCCATGTTTACGGCAGCTGGGGAGTTAATATATTTCGCGCAAAGCGCGTAAAAAACAAGAGGAGGCGTGTTTTCTCAATGCCGTAGAAAATGCAAAACTTCCCAACATAACATACACATAGATACACAAGATGGCTACCAAACAGTCTTGTTGAGCCTGTTACTCACAGGGGAGATATCGTTGTTTGCTGTCTGGGAAACCGTAGAGATACAGGGAGCCTTTCGCTCACGCTATGGATTCATTGCTAATCTATCTTAGACATATTTCTATAGTCCAGATAGAGATGGATTTATTTGTTGTGTGATATTATTAAGAAAAAGGAGACGATAGAGAAATGACGTTTTCTCGTCGCGATGATGCTCGTTTTCCGTACGGATTTTCGCGTTAGACCCCCTGATGTGTTTGGCTTACCGTGGTTGAGTCAGGGTTCATGTCAAGCAGAAAAATGGAAGAATAAATTCGCTGCAACAACACTGCTGCTGCCGTTGCTGCTGTGGATGTAGAGTAAACCAGGGTATTAACGAACACCCCCCCTTTAACGAACACTTTTTTCAAATGCACGTCCCTCGGCGCACAATGCGCGGAGCCCCCCAATTTTTTTTTTGAAATCTTCAGCTTTCCGTTAGCTTTCGTTTGAGCACCTCCGCGTGTCGATCGGGTCAAGCACTCCCGAGATACAGCACAGCCCTCACCCACACCCCTTATGTGGGGCATCTTTGCCCTTTTCGGGGTCCTGCTGCTAAGCATGGGACGTAAGAGAGTAGACCCAGAGCAGGCCCAGAAGGCTGTAGATGCGGTACGCAGCGGTGAGATGTCGCTCCGCGTTGCTGCGAGGACCTACGGGTTACCGCTAGCCTCGCTGCACGACCGTGTGAAGAACAAGGTGGCCATAGATGCGAGGGTTGGTCCCGGGACTGTCCTGAGCAAGGAGGAGGAAGATTTCGTAGAAGACGTCTTGATCTACGCCTCCCGACACTTCTTGCTGTTGGGTCGGAGGGAGCTGAGAGACGCTGTGCGCAACATCTGCACCGACGGGCGCAAGGTGCCCTGGGACCCAGACAAGGGCCCTGGGGACAGCTGGCTTGAGGGGTTTATGGCGAGACACCCGGGTTTGTCGGAGCGAGCCACCCACATCTACGAAGCAAACCGGATTAACGAAGACGGCGAGCCTCGCCTTCAAGCTTTCTACAAAGCATGGGCGGAGTACCTGGAGGAGACCAAGCTCCCGCCGGAACGCATCCTCAACACGGATGAGACAAGTGAGTTAGGGCAAGGGTTGAGGTGTCAGTAGGTGTCATTGGGTGTCAGCGGTGTCAGTATCGACTGCTGTGGGTTCGTAGGCGAAG